GAAGAAGCCAAAATTAATACAGTGGTAGAAGTCAATGCATGAAGGCCTCAGAACTCTGCTCCTATATTACCATGCTAAGCAGATTTACACCTTTCTAAGTCTATGCATTGACAGTAGCTTTTAACCAATGGGTGAGATTTGAGTTAACGGGTTCTCTTCATTTCCTACATGCATGATGCACAATTCAGATTGTGATGCATAAAAGCACCTCTCCTACCATTTCTGGTCATGACAACATGACATTGGGGAAATCCTTATCCACATGTGTCACAGTTCTGAGTGGCAGCACACAGGCAGGAACTGATAAGAACCCTCAGTTCACACCTGACTGTTACATAGGATACAGGGTATGGACCCCAGGCCCAGTCTGTGAAGTAAGCAAGTCAGCCATTAGGTTCTGAAGAAGTGACTATCTGAAGAGAATTACCCTCATGTATTTCAGTTTCGTACAGCAAAGTCCAGCACCAATATGGTCTACAGTAATTATTCTACAGTAATTCCAAATGAGACGGATTGACTCCGTCAAGGAAGCCACAGCCCATCATTTGCAAGACTGGAGAGAGGCCGATAATGATGGATGTTTGGGAGGTCATTGATTCATAGGGTCACCATAAGTCAGAAGCAACTTGACAGTGCTTAACACACACACACACACACACATTATTCCAAATGCTTTGGGGAAATCTGCTTTGAACCTTTAACCCTTTAGTTTTTGTACCAGTTTTTTGTTTATTTTAATATTACCCTATAAAGTGAGCCCATTCCTCCCAATAATATTATGGCTGATTGCGCACTAGAGCTGCCTCGCTGTTGCGTCACCGTTTGCCCTGGTTCTATTGTTCAATTTCACACCAGAAGCCGCGCAGCTGATTTTGACCCGCGGCTTCACCCGATTTCCTCTGCAGTTTCGTTGATCCTTAAAAAACAGGATCATGAAACTGCGGGGGAAATCGGGCGAAGTCGCGGGTCAAAATCAGCCGCACGGCTTCAGGTGTGAAATTGACCAATAGAAGCGGGGCAAACGGCGGTGCAACAGCGAGGCAGCTTTAGTGCGAAATCAGCCAGAGTGCCTGCAACAAGATCGAAAGGGCAAGAGAACCAGATTATTAAAAAGCGCTCATTTCTCTGTCAGAAGCTAAGTCCAAAAGTGGATATCACTTCTTTACGTTTCTGTATCCACACTTAGTGTTGCTTTACATATTAGAAAATTATGTTTGACAACTTGACATTTTAATTCCTCCAATCCAATTAAGTTGTTAGGAGATTCAATTACTGCATCACATGGGTCAGGAACTCCTCTGTCTGCTGCGCCCTCCTTCTTATCCCCCCTTCTACTTTCTATATTATTTTATTAACAGAGGTGGAGAACTCATTAGGAGCCTTGTTATCATTACCATTATTAAACTTTTGTCTTCCCCATTATCAGTAACATTTTTATCTCCGCCGTCATTAAGTACCACATCACTCAGATCACAGGATTATGGAAAGGAGACACATTTTCCATTATTTTCTGGTGGTTTTTTTTTAAAAAATATAAAACTTCTCTCTGTGCTTGCTAGTTATTTGTAAACTTCTGTACATGCAAACTGATCAGGGGAAAGGACAGAATGGTGTTGTTCAGAAGGCTCAGGTGGGATTGGAATGACTATCTTGAGGCAACATAGCAAAAGAAGACAATGGATAACTAGGAACCTGGCTCATTTCCACTGTTCATGTGCCCAAAAAATGAAAATTCATAATAGCCAATTGGGATAAAGACAGCATAACCCTCACTGGGCAAGGGCGTAGACTTTCCATTTTCTCGGGGGCTTGGGCTGGGCCAGAGGCATTGCCAAGGCAGCAGGAGGCAAGAAGCCTGGGCGAGCTGGGCTCCTCCATGCCTGGCAGAAGATGAGGTGCAGAGGCGAGAGGTGGGCAAGCAGAAGAATCGGATTCCCGCAGTTCGGCCCCATTATATCCTATGGGCCATTGAAGTCAATGGCGAAAATGTAGGGTATATTCTGGGGGCTGGAGGGGAGGAGGGTTGAGGGAGAGGCTCCAAAATCGCAGGGTAGCTGCTGGATCCTCTCCCCAAGATACCCACCATGTTTCAGGAACATTAAACCAGGGGGTCCAATTCTACGGGCCCCCAAACAGGTTGCCCCCATCCCCTCCATTGTTCTCTATGGTGGGAAAAAAGTTACTTGCCAGTGTTACCATAGTCAAAGGTTGCATCAGCAATCACAGTTAACCATGGTTAACACTAACCAGGCATCAAAACTGGATTCAAATGGGCAGTGGGATGGCAGTCTGTACCAGTCTGGCGTAGAGGTATACCAGCCCAGCGAAGATACTGCCTCCTATCTTCTGGTATTTGTTTTTAAATATATTTTATTACATTTATTTACCTTCAATTTGTATCCCGCCTTGCCGGTGCAAACTGGCTCAAGGGGGCTCAAGTTAAAATACAATAAAACAAATAAATACAATAAAATTTCAATAAGAACAATTACATAAAGTGCTAAATATAAACAGATGGTGGGAAATTTCTATACATGGTCCGCTGGAGAGAGGATTATGGCCGTAATGGGAGCCACTGTAGTATAGTGTGTGTGACAGCCGAAGAAGATGCACGTTCGAATCCCTACCCAGGAGCAAAAAAAAGCCAAAACAAAAACAAAAACCTTACTGGGAGACCTTGAACCAGTCATTTTTTCTCAGCTTAACGTTTCTCAGCAGGGTGCTACAAGCGAAAATTGGGACCACCCAATCCATGCACCATACTCTAACCATGTAATCCGAAGCAAAGTTACACCTTTCAAAATCAGCTGAAGCCAATGGATTTAGAAAATTGTAACTCTGCTTAGGCCTATGCTGTATGCTTCTTGTTGAATGACTGGAATACAAAGAGAATGAATGTCCCTCTTTCACCCACATGTGGCCACTAATTCTTCTAATCACCCAGGCCATAATAAATCATTTGGCCTTGTACCCTCTCAAGCTATGTTTCTTTAGGTTCTACCCACAAAGAAGTACTGCCTATCAGCAAATGGACCTTCTTTTGCTTGTTTTCAGTCCCAGTACAGCATAAGGGGGGGAGGGGGGGAGAGAGAGAGTGTAGATCCAAAGTACTAGTCAAGAGGTTGTTATTAAGGGCTCATTCTCTGGTCAGTGATCACTTGCCCAAAGAGCACTTTCTCACTGATAAAGACCTTTCAGCTCACTCACAACCAAGAATCTTTTCAAATGCTTTGTTCCCCACTATATACCTGTCAGAATGGCGACTGAGTGGCATGAACCATCACTGGAGTTTAAATTCTGTTTCAGGATCTATAAAGATTGCCTCCTGTATCAACACACATACATACACAGCCTTTACAGTCATCATTCCTAACTGTTCTTTCTGAAAAGAGAATGCCAAGATATTGAATCACTTATCAGCAAATCTTTTGACTGTGTAAATGGTTGTCAGGAATCCATCAAAGAGGAAAGAGCAGACTGCCAAGGATATATTTCTAAGCTACTGTGAAGTAAGGAGTTAAAGATTTAACACCCCAATGCTAAATCCAATGACTTTTAATTTTTATTTAAATTCACATGCACTTGAAATGAGTGTCAAAGCAGCATGAAATGAAAGAATTGCCCATTTCTAGCGTGGATTCATTGATTTTTTTAAAAATGAGACCACTTGAAATGCAAACTTGTTGAATCAATCAGCAATGCTACGCTAGTTAATTACAAACTTGGTTAGCTGAAGGAACCTGAGAGAGCTGAATAAATTTACAACTGCCTCTTAATTTGCCAACAATCTGAAATATTTGTTCAGCTGATGGGGGACAGTATCATATGTCAATCCTAAAGAGCTCTTTATACTGAGAACCTTCTCACTGTTTCCAAGTGTGGTCAGGGCTGTTTCTCAAGGAGAACCAGGAGGCTTCATCCTTCCTTTTCCGTCCAGTTTCTAGACCTCATGTTGGTGCATGTATGTATGATAATTGGTGAGTAATGTGTGCAGAAATCTTTAATGTTTTCTTTCATAGTCTTCAGAAATGATACCCCACCATGATGCTATAATGTCCTAGCAAATTCCTGTAACTTTCTCTTCTGCCGCAATGCCTATACAACTGAAATACCCACACGGAAATACTGGTGGTGATTCTGTTTTGACTTTGAAGTGCAATATCATTTCTGAACTTGAACCAAGTTACACGCTTGACCTTGGGTGAACTTCGTGTCATATTGATAAGATCAAGATATTGAGAATCTTCATAAGAATTTACTGAGGCATGATTTATGATACACAAATACAATATACAAAGCAAGCTTTGCTCATACACACATGATCATCTATTAATGACTGCAACATCAAGTGACAACTGTCACATGTCAAAGAACCATCACCAGTCACAGACAGAGGTTCCATGTCATATGACGACTACGGAAGCAGCTGTGATGCAACCATTCAAATGGTCTTCTAGGTTGTCAGACCTATTTGTAACTTCTGATGGCATGCTTAAAGAATGCTACATCGATGCTGGAGGAAAATCAGCCTGGCTGCACAACTAAGTGATCAGATGACGGCTTTGAAATGCCACAAGTAATAAAGCACATGGATATTCCACAAGACCAGGACCTATTTTTCAGTTGAGATCATCAACCTTCAGTAAACTTTATTTACTATTTCATCACGTTCGTAGCTCTAACACTTTCATTTCCATTTCATTTTCCTGTCAGTTTTCCATCTTGCTTTCACCCCCGCATGCACCCAAGCAGGCTTCATTTCCCTCTCTCCCCTTCAGCAGTCAAAAAAGTATGCAAATCAGGCGGAACCATGATTTATATTGCACAATTACAGATCTGTAATAAAATCCTTAGCAGCACTTATGAGAAAAATAATTGTTGCAAAAAGAAACGTTGTAAAAGTAAGACAGCACTTTAACATAACTGTGTTGGTATTTTCCAGAACGGTCATGAGCATTAAAAAAAATGATATTAATCTTTAGGGTCATTAAAACTCCTACCTCTTGAAGAACTCTCTTCATTTTCAGCAGCAGCGTTTTCACAGCCGTGCAGTCCTGCATCATCAGCCGGAACGGCAGAGATTCCATCCCGCCACCTTCTTCCATCGGCGCAAAAGGCCACTCCATAGACGGGCTGCTGGCCAGCTGGCTGACACGAGGACACCGGGGCTCTCCTCGATCCACATCCTTCGACAGTTTGAGAGAAAGATTCCTGAGAAAACAATATTTTTAAAGGATATTAATGCTAATTATTTGAGCGTATTAAACGGAAAATAAGGTACATCATATCGGGGCCAGCATCAGCATAACCTGAGGTGGGGCAGCTGCCGGGGCCCAAGGGCTTCTGACAGGGCCCGCTGTCACAGACCCCCCCTACACACACAATTGTTCCCCTCTACTGTCACATGCCCACGTGCCTTTCCCTGCACTCCACCACCTATGCTTCTTGATGAACACAACAGCTGCACACAACAGCCAATGCTGTTGACCATGAACACAGTACAGGCAGGTAACCTCCCTGTATGACTCTGGAGAGCGTCTCCTATTATCACAACAGTTGATCTTCTCTGTTCTCACCTGTGAATACATACACACGCACACACACCAACGGTGTCCACTTACAGGCTTTCCCCCATGTTATTTCATGATACAGCTAGAAGAACGGGTATCTTTAGAAGTGAGCTCTTTTATAATATATATTTAAAAAACAGTAGCAGAACTTTCACAACATTTTCCCTGCCACCTTAAAAATTAGAATGTCATTTTTTAAAAAAATAGATGGACAAACCTTTGAGGGGGCGGACTGTGTGCATGCCAATTTGCGAGTGTTTCTGTAAAACTGTAGTGTACACCTGGGACCAAGCATCAGAATGAAAAATAAATACACTTGGGAGATACTTGATGTACAAGTGAATAAACAAGCTTTTACAATGGGCAAGGATGCAACACTTGCAAAAGCTGCATTCCGCCGGTAATCAGAGTAGACAGAAACTTCTGCTATTTGATATGCAGATATGTTGAACAATTTGGGGAGCATTCACATGCCCTGCTCCAACTGAGCATGAACACAGTTTGGACTTGCATCAAAAGGTAAATTCATCCAAAATATAGTCCATTTTCCCTCCGACTCTAGGGCAGCATATTCAGAAGAACCATTCACCATAGTAATTAGACTTGTAGGCCAGAACACTACGAGTGAGGAAGCTATAAGACCATCACAGGTGACTGGGAATCTTGGGAGTTTAGCTGCTGCTTCTGACAGAGCAGCTGAAAGGAAGATCAATCGCTTTCTCTCTGAGATGCCAAGCAAAAGCTGGAGGAAAGCGGCTTTCCATTTCCAACAATCACAGCCACTTCTAGAGAGGTCACCTGAACCCTGTTGCCAGGTACGCTTGAACTGAGGTGCTAGGTGTTATTATTTAGGAATATAAAGGAATAGCAATTTTGCTAAAATATTCAAAGCCCAAAATATTCAGTATTCACAGATTTTCATATACAGTAGTAGAATGCATTCCGCTGCATGTGGCAATTTTCATGGTTGGCACAAAGGTATGTGTGGAAACAAGGGGTAACGGAACAAATGCAGGGGTTATTTTTTTTTGGGGGGGGAAGCTTAGGAAGTCTGAGAATTATTATTAAAGAAGGCAAGATAAAAGGCAAGGAAATGTTGCAACAACTTTCCAGAGTCAACTTTCCAATGTCAACCAAAAAGGCAAGGTTATGTTACAGCAACTTTACAACGTCAACAATGAACCTGAAAATCTTGCCATGTTACTGTCTCTTTATTACAGTTTGCTGCATTGAGGGGTATAAGCGAATAAAAAAAGAAACCTTTTGGAGTAAGTATAAATGAAAAGGGAACTCTTCTATATTTTCTTCTTCTTGACTAATCCCCGTGCCCATGATGTTAGCTTACGAGAATTTAAACTTAACCGACAAAGATTCCCAGATTATTTCCTTTAATCTTCTTAGTTTTCATCAACGGGACTTGCAACACTGCCACAGTAGAATTAGCCTGAACACATACAATGGACTCCCAGTGTCTGCACTTCTTGATATCAGCTTAGTGAGAGAGACCACCAAAACTCTGCCTCAGGAAGCTCTCTGAGCAGATCAAAAGGACACAGTGAGAATTATCTACTTGCTGAGGTCTTAATCGTAAAAACAGAAGGGTAGGCAAAGCTTCAGAGCCCACAAGTTATAAGCAGCCTTTAGCATTAACTAGATAAAAGTAATACTTATTTCCAAGGGAGTTCCAAATCATAAGATAAAAATCAAACCTACTGGCTTACAGCCTACCTTTCAAAACGTGTGTCTCAGACACACAAACAAAAGCCTCAGAATGAGGCCATTACGATGCACTGACATAACAGATATATTAAGATTTTCTACAGAAATCACCTTCTGAGCAAGTGCACCTCTATCTTAAACCTTCCTCTTCTGAAAAGTGAGTAACATGCCTTTACAGATTAACTCAGTAAGTGAACCACAAAATGATAAAGACCACCAATAATAAACAGGTCTCCCGGATAGATAGGGTTACCATATTTTGAAAAGCAAAAAAAGAGGACATATTTCCCAACTGACTACTTCAAACAAGAGATCACTACGACAAATCTCATTTTAAATAGCCATACTATTTAAACTGTCATAATTGCTTCTAACTAGGAATATTCCTAACCTTCCAACCCCAAAAGAGGGCATTTTCATTAGTTGTTGTTGTTTTTTAAAAAGCCCAAATGAGGACAGAAACCAAAAAAAGAGGATATGTCCTCTAAAAAGAGGGCATCTGATAACCCTGGGTTAGAGGCTCTCCACAGTATTTTAAATTGACACGTTCACGTGTTGCCACTGTTCAACTGCGCAGCCTGCCTTTATAACACAATCCTTGATTCATGCCAATGTCTGGGGCTAGAAAAGCTAGGAAGTAGAATCATTTTATGAAATCTAGTTCTATACTGTTCCAACTATCTCTTCCTTAGAGACAGATCAAGATGGGTAGCCATGTTAGTCTGTCTGTAGAAGTAGAAAAGAGCAAGAGTCCAGAAACACCTTAAAGAATAACAACATTTGTGGCAGCTTTAGTCCCTATATATTTATTGAATTATATGTTCTTACACTGCTGCCTGGAAAGTGTAGTTCATTCTAGTCACTTTTAAGCATGCACTAACCTGAGGAATGCCACTAACTGTGCAGGCACAACAGCAGCATGCAAACACCAGTTGTTACTGAATGGCCTGGGGTATACATATTCCAAGCAAGCCAGTAATTGTGAGTATGCCTCATCAATAGCAGCTGCCCTCTTAGTCACCATGCAGAATGCAACCACTGCATAGATTCAGATCTACTCAAAGTACCACTTGCTTTGAAGTGCAATCAAATCTAGCACTCAACCCAAAACAGGCATTGAAACAAGGTAAGGTCAAACATCAACTGCCGTAAAAATGAACAAACAAAACAAAAATTGCAGTACTCCTGGGAACAATGCTGACCTACCTCATATTTCTTCTAGTGGGGTCAGGTTACATCCTGTCTTGACTGGGGTACCTGTAGGGCAAAAATAAGCTCACACGGAAATGGCCCTAGAGGGCATCTAATCAGAAACCAGACTAGGGTACCTACGAGAGCTCAGCAGCTATTCTAACCACTACTACAGCCAGAAAGATCCAGCCAGGCTCCACCCTTCTGTACCAATGAGTGTTTCTTAAAATGCCTATGTCCACATTTGAAGTCTTGTGCTTGTGTGACACTCTGCAGTTCTTCAGTAGGTCCCCTGATGTCTCTGTTGAGAAGGACTTAGTGAGTCCCCTTAGAGGCTGTTGGGAAGGACTTGTCTTCTGAGGTCTCTGGTTGCCTAGCTATGAGGGGAGGATGGCTCTGGGGCTCAGGTCTGTTTATTTGTTTGTTTGTTTCCCCCCCCCATTTGTTCTTCCTTGGATGGCCTGCTTGGGTTATGAGTTCTAGACTGGGAAATTCCTGGAGATTTGGCAGTGAAGACTGGGAAGGGCAGGTTTTGAGGAGGGTAGGTACTTCAGCAGGGTATGATATCATAGAGTCCACCCTCCAAAGCAGCCATTTTCTCCAGGGAAACTGACCTCTGTTATTTGGAGAACAGCTGTAATCCTTGGAGATTGTCAGGCCACAACTAGAGGTTGGCAACCCTTCCCTTAGCCAGAATATATGGACCTGGTCACCACAGCTTCCTGCTCTCTGCAAATAACTGCCCCTGTTATCAAGAACTATCAGTCAAGTCTGTGTTAGACTAATTGTGTGAGAACAGAATAGGTTAGCGCCATATGGCAGGATCTACAAACACTGGTGTTGGTTGAATGGTCCAGTAGATGACTGTTTAAATGCCTTCCACACTTTTATGAAACCCCAACAAGTTTTACCATATGATACCTGTTCCCTTTTCTTCCTTGCGGTTCCTTTGATTTCCATGATACTAAACTTGATTTAAGCCAATTTACACCCTGATCCAGAAACAATTCAATCCAGTCATCATGATTCCATTCCATTGGCTAAAGTCAACCCTAAACTTGCTCGTATATTATGATTCCATCTCCATACTTCTCATTTTTGTTCAATGCTGACGCTTCTAAAAATGTGCATCGCAGACATGCTAGATTATTAAAATGCATAGTGTGGGGTTAGGTACATATTAACATTTTATAGCTTTTAGCACTAAACGTCATTTATTGCCAATTTTCTTGCTGTGACTTTGAAAAAAAGTCACCTCTGGGTGGAGGGGTGCGGGGGGGGGGGAAGATCTCACTGTTATCACTGTATGCAAGTGCACACATACACATAAGCCATGTTTGATATAAAGTGTTTCATAAGTTACCGTTCTGTATTTAAAAGATTTCACTGGACCATTAATACAATCATTTGGTCTTTGCAACCATGTATTTTGGTTGTACAAATATTCTATAGAATTTCAGCACTACTGAGTTATCAAGGCTGGTCTGCTAAAATGAATGATGCGGTCCAGGTTTGGAGGATCTTTGAGAATAGCATGTCATGGAATGCAAGGAGGCTTGCAGCGTTGGGATGAAAGCTTCTTTTAGTATGACAAATAAGCATCCTGTTAATGGCCCATCATTCCTAACTGACGTGTATAAATTCTGTGTAAAGGTCCTCTTTGTGGGAAAAGAGCAGCCTTGGACCTGTTAAGTTAACCTTACTAGAGAAAGGGGAATCAGATCTCCTTCC